CCCCCTGCCTAGGCAGGAAACCCTATACTGTTTCAGACAAATGGCTATCCAACATCTTCTTAAAGACTTCCAGTGTTGGGGCATTCACAACTTCTTGATTGTATCCCTATGTTAATCCAACCTAGGATAGCATTTGCTTTTTTGGCTGCCGTTGCAAAGTGCTACCTCATATTTATGTAACTGCTTCTCCACTAAGACTTGAAGATCCCTCTCTCACAGCTGCTGCTGGAGTACTTCATCCTTAGCCAGACCAAGCAATGGCTTTGATGGGGCAGCATGCTTAACAAGGTCATGGGAACTGTGGTGTCACAAGGTTCAGAAGGCAATATTGCAGGGTAACTCTGTCTGCTTCCAGGAGTTGAAGATAACCACTGCTACCTCCGTCCCATACCAAGGCTTGAACCCTTTCTGGTAGGAGGTCAAATAATGTGCTTCTTTCAGGATGCTGCAGTTTTAGTCCATCACCATTGTCTCAACAACCTTCCCCATAAAGGAGAGGTTGGAGATCAAATTATAGTAACCTAAATCAGTTGGATCTAGAAATGGCTTCCTCAGAGGGAATATACCGTATTTTTTGGTGTATAAGATGCACTTTTTACCCCCACAAAAAGAGGGTGAAAATCTGTGTGCATCTTATACACTGAATACTGCATTTTTGTCCTCCCGAACCCCCACCATCTTCGCAAAAATGGAGGTGCAGAGGGTTTAGGAGGCCTGCAAAGTATTCCTGGGGTCTGGGGAGGGCAAAAATGAGCAACAAACGGGCCATTTTTTGCCCATTTGTGCACCCCCCAGGCTCAGGAGCACTCTACAAGCTTCCCAAAGCCTATGCTTGCCCTGCTTTTTTTGAAAAAAAAAAGGCCGATTTTCATGAAAAATGGGCCGTTTTTTGCTCGTTTTTGACCCCCCAGCCCCTTTGCAGGCCCCTCAAACTCTCAGCATGCCCCATTTTTCACAAAAAGTGANATTCTATGCTATTCTATGCTATTCTATGCTATTCTATGGGGATCTGAATAAGAGAACAGAATAATAGCGTAAATAAAGTTCAAGATCTAGCCATAACCAGTCTTTTTCTCCTCAGGGGTCCCCGGTTTTGTGTAACTCATAAAGCTGACATTCAGGCCACAGTTGCCAAGCTGAAAATCTGGCATGCTCGGCAACAGAAACCACGTATTGACGTGGATCCTTTCCCACAGATGGTGTCCCTGCTACCACTCAGGCCGAAATCTTGCATGCCAAAAATAGAATTTCCATGTCATCAGGTATTGCTTGTTACATTAAACCTTGGCAAAAGTACTTTGGGTCTGTCTGAACATTGTAGAAGCATTGAAGGAAAAGACTGTATGATTGGAAGGCTATCAGACTCCTGAATGCAAAATAACATCATAACTACGTAGTAAGATGGACTTGAAACGTGTAAGGACTGGGTGTTTTTTAATATGATTTATTGGGTTAGGGAGTTTCTGTCTTCATTGTGAGTTCTGTTGTGTTGGGAGGGGGTGCACTGAGGGAGCTCAACCAATCTCATTGTACATATGTTGTACACTGACAAATAATAATTAAATTAAAGTAGTGTTGGGATACAGTCCTCGGCCTATGACCGTAACTGACACCACCATTTTGGTTGTAAGTCATGGCGGTCATTAAGTGGGCCACCATATGACCATGTCTGATTTTATAGCCTTTGTTGTGATGGTTGTTAACAGAACGCCAGAGTCATTAAGTGAACCCATTGTTTTCTATGGGGTATTTTTTTTGCCAGAACCTGGAAGTAATTCTGAAAAAAAAAATGACATAAACTGTGGGCACGTGACTGAGGGAACCGCTGTAACTTCAAGCCAGTTACTTAGTGCCCAAAATGAAGTCATGTGACTATGGGGGAGGACATAGCCATCAGAACTCTGAATCTCTTTCAACGTTAAACGGTTGCTAGGTGATTGGTCATAAGTCAAGGACTACCTGTACCCATATCTAGACTGCAAAAATATGGATGACCACTAGGCATCACTATTTGACCATTTTTATGACCATTTTTCAGCCTTGTGACCATTGCAGTATTTCCCCCAAGCCATGTGACCAAAATTCAGATGCTTGCCAACTGGTTCATCCTTATGACGGGATCACGTTATCAGTTTTTCTGACCTTCTGAAAGGCAAAGTCAATGGGGAAGCCAGATTCACTTAACAACCATATTACTAATTTAAGAACTGCAATGATTCATTTAACAACTGTGGCAAGAAAGGTCATAAAATGGGGCAGAACTTGCTTAACAAATGTTTCACCTAGCAACATAAAGTTTTGGCTCAATTGTGGTTGTAATTTGAGGACTACCTGTATATAGGTGGGGTTTTTTTTTGCTTCTATTAGAGAGTAACAAAAAGCATCTAAAGGACTTCAAATAAATCTTAAAGGGGAGAGAGAAAGAGAGAGAGAGAGCCCTTGTCTGTAATTTCATATAGTTGGCATTTCAAGGCAAACTGCTTCTGCAGATGGAAAAGCCACATCTCTGTCTTGACCATAGCTATGCAGGCTGCATATCTTTATTGTTATACTTTGACTTTCCTCAAGGAATTCAAGGCAACCTGCATTCCACTCTCTCCTACAATTTTGTTCCCGGATCAATGAATCTGTAGAATAGTCAGAGTTACAGTGATTGACCCCAATGGTACTCCTTGAAACTTCATGGCACAGCAATAGCACTTAGACTTATATATAGCTTCACAGTGCTTTACAGCCCTCTCTAAGTGGTTTTCAGAGTCAGCCTATTACCCTCAACAATCTGGGTCCTCATTTTACCAACCATGGGTAGATGGAAGGCTGAGTCAACCTTGAGCCTGGTGAGATTCGATCTGCCAAATTGCAATCAGCTGGCAGTCAGCAGAAGTAGCTTGCAGTGCTGCATTTTAACCACTGCGACACTGTGGCTCTTGAACATAGATTGTTCTTGAACACGGGCTTCAGAGGTGGTATTCAGCAGCTTCTGGCCAGTTCTGTAGAACTGGTAGTGGAAATTTTGAGTAGTTCAGAAAACCGGTAAATACCGCCTCTGACTTGTCCCGTCCCCATCTATTCTTTGCTTCCTGAGTCCCAACTGATCGGGAGGAAATGGGAATTTTGCAGTAAGCTTCCCCTGGTGTGGAGAAGGAATTTTTCAGTATCCTTCCCCTGACACGGCCACCAAGCCATGGGCCACCAAGCTACACCATGCCCACAGAACCAGTAGTAAAAAAAAATTGAATCCCACCACTGATGGGCTTCTGTTGTTTTAGTCCAACCTACACTTTTTAAAATGTAAATTCACCTGAGCTGGAAAAACACTTTTTATTTTATTTTGGAATAACACTAAAATTACTTTTTAAATAAGTTTCTGAACTTCCAATTGGGCCGTTGGGCCATTTTTCGCCCTCCCCAGGCTTCAGGAAAGCCTCTGGAGCCTAGAGAGGGCAAAAAACAATCAATGGATCAGCCGGAAGTATGAAATTCCAATTGGCCCATTGGGCCTGTTTTTCACCCTCCCCAGGTTCTGGAGGCTTTCCTGAGGCCTAGGGAGGGTGAAAATGGCCCCTGCTGCCCCCCTCAAGGCCTCCAGAGGGCTGTGGGAGGCCGTTTTCGCCCTGCCCAAGCTTCAGGAAAGTTCCCCCCCACTTGGGGGTTGCTCACCCATGGGCGTGTGTGTGTGTGTGTGTGTGCTCATGCATGCGCAGGTCAGGGGGTTGCTTGTGCAGGTGGGTGGGCGCATGCACACAGTTTTGGTACACCTTTAGAAAAAGGTTAGCCATCATTGATGTACAGTATATGATACAGAAGATAT